ATGATTTAAATAAAGCATGCCAACAATGCAATCGCCTTTCTCTAGTCTTATATCCTCACATCTACTGATTGATAATTGAATAAATAATTTCATATAGTTGCACATGAAAAAAAAATCCCAAGCCATGTATTTTTACTACAATAATTTAAGGTTATCATTCTTTGCCAGTCTGCCCGATCCTGTCCGTTTAGTATGAATGCATGCATAGGGTGCAGAGAAAGACAAGGTGACAACCAGGCAAGGCACGAAAACAAGTTCAAATCACGAATGAAAGAGATGAAAATGAAGGTCATTGGCTAACCTAAATAACCTTATTATATCTTTAAAATTAAAATCAGACAATAACAGGACAACATAATCCACATAGTACAATTAAAAAAAAAGTATTATATAACCATGCAATTTGGTATAGTATGATTTCTAAGCACATAAAATAATTGCTGAATGCAATAAGATAGAAAATAGCATAGATTTATTTAAAGGTTTATGACAACTTACTTTGGAGGCTCCAACATGCGCAAGAGCAACACCAACCAAACCCACACCAGAACCAACCTAAATATTCTTAAAAAGGCAGCAAAATTGCACCAACCATTAAAAGTATTGATAAATTTAAGAAACAAAAAACACAAAAATGGTACTGCAGTAATGGAAATAAATGTTTGCATCAGAGATAAGAAATCCTACATAATTTACAACATCAGGTGGATTGAAGAATTTTTAAAAAGATATTACTAGAGCAACAAAGTATGAATAACTATAATGTTATAAAGCTAAAAAAATGAAAATGACAAAATGTAGGTAAGCAATAACAATTAAGTTGAATTTGCAAATAAATCTATTCAGAAATAAATTACAACCACCCAAATTAGATAAAAAGGACTACATTAACATTTTAAAGAAACAACAAACAACAACAACATGAAGCCTTTATCCCACTATGTGGGGTCGGCTACATGAATCATTTTTCTCCATTGTGTCCGGTTAAGAATCTAATTCTCATTTAGATCTAATAAATAAAAGTAACTTCTAAAACGTAAGTAAAAAATGGCAATTGCAAATCCCTTTATTTGACAATAATTATGCCTAATTCCATCTTTGAACACTTGTTTCAAAATAGAAATGCAGGTTAGCACAATTGATTTTTTACAGCAGCAATCTGCGGTTGAATTCAGGAATATCTCACCTCAGTCATTGATTATCATACAAAAAATTCGATGGCATTTATGAGAAGATATGTAAGTGGCTTAATTCCTCTATGGACAATAGGCTATAACTGTAGCTATCATTTAGCAACGCCTGTAAGTTTTCATAAAACCTTCACATCTTCAACGAGATGACCAAAGTAGTTGACTACATCCCATGTAATACCCATCTAATTTGTTTGTGAGCTCACAAATCATAAACCTCAACAGTTAACTTTAAGATTAAAATGTTTCCCCATCTCTCGATTTGAACAATTGATCCTCCCTACACCATGTCATTCTGATACTCCTGATTTCTTGAATTTCAGCATTTCTGTAATATATTACTTTAAAATATCAGCACTGCTGAAACAACAATTCCTAATTTTCATTGCAATCACTTCTCTTTCGGCAAATTAAATGGCATCTACAACTTTGGAAACAGAATTAAAACCTTGCACCACTTTTTTTTTCCTTGTCACTGCTTACTCGGCACCTTAATCAATCGCTCAATCAAAAGTATGGAAAGGCTGGCAGCCCCAACATTATACATGCATTTCCAAGCCTGTCCATCTAAAATCTGTCTAGTGTCAATATTATTAACCTCTTACCACTTATAAGTCTATGCATCTCTGCATCGACAAGAAATAGGCCACATAAACTGCTAATATCCAAAGACAATACCATCTTCAACCCAACTGACAAGACACTGGCTTTGATTTTCTATTGTCCTCTTGCAACCCTTCTTTGTCCAAAACTTGATAATAAATCAGGAAAAAAAAAATTTCAGGCGTCTTACTATGAGAGAAATAGTGATATGCTGATGCCCCATATTTAAGATCCTTAATTGAGATATATTATCTCCTAGCCCATCAAATGTCAACACTAGCATGACTCAAGACTATGGCATAGCATGTCATGGACCGGACATGAAAATGCAAAAATATAATATTATAGGCTGTTTCAAATTGTTGAATTCAAGAGTTAAGCATGAAAAGGATAAAAATAAACTTTTATTTATTAAAATTAAAACATAATGTGGTAGGCACAAGGTATGCTTTCATTTCTTAAAATATAAGACATGGAATACAGTTATTTATTTCAAGCTAAACTACGGATCACCAATGCCCCTAATTTTCATATTTCATCATAAAAAATATCATACACAGAGTGTAAGCTATTTGCCAAAAAAAAGCTCTACAACCAAGCTAACACTTTCAAATTGTTGAATCCAAAAGGTAAGCATGAAATGGTTCAAAATAAACTTATGATGTCTTCAAATGTTAAGTAAAATAATTTTTTTACATATCTTACCACCACTCATCAAATGCCCCGTCAAGAATTGAAGTTTCATACTAAGTAAACAAGACTGAGGAAGGCGATTGATCATTGAACTGACCAGTTAAGATTAAGGTATGTACTACCAATAGGCCATCCCCTAGCAATGCCCAAACCATTATAGAAAGGACACATGCTAGCATAAAGGCACATGTTGAACCATGTGAAGACAAGTCTACTCCAAACAGATGTCCTATATGATCTAGGGAGGCTTGTATTATTAATACATGCTTCCAGCTGCATGCTGTCTTAGGTGCAAGCCAAAAAGGCTCCTACCAAACTTAATCATGAATGCTTTTTGTCCAATTCTCATTCAAATTGAGGAACAAATTATTCACATGTTTTGCGTTCAAAATTCTGAAGGACCCTCTAATGGCATGTTTTCCAGGCATCATGCATTATGCTCGTCATCGCACTTATCTTTACCTTTTTTAGCTGCATAATAACCATTAATGATTTTTCTTATTAAAGCGTCCCCATTAAAATGATAAGTTATATAATTTAAAACAAAAGACCATTTTTATTAGCAAAAGATTATTATACTTACCACTAATAAAAAAAATATTATACAAATTATATTATAAGAGAAAAGTTGAACTTACCTCAAAGCAAACCTTTTCTGAGAACAACTTTGGGTAAGAAAGTATAAACTCTGACAAAAAAAGACTTGAGGGCCAAAGAGCACATCTGGAGATACAAAATTAAAAAAATTATGTTTAAAAATTCAATTGGAAGTTAATCATCATCATCGTTAGCCTTGTCACAACAATTTATGGTCGGGTTTGTTCTCATTTTCCATTCATTTTTTGTTGAGTGCTTCCTATCGAATAAAATCTATTTTAACATAACATTTTAATCAACTTCTATCCAAATTAGCTTATAGATCTACCCTTCTGCTCAATCCACCAACATCAATTTTATATACTCGCACAATAGGCATGATCTCTATCTTTCTTGTGCATATACAAACCACCTAATTCTATTATAAAATATCTCACCTTTAATACATGTCACTCCAACATTCATTTAATATAATCATTATTAAATTTATTGTTCCTAATTTGTTGTCATACTCAGCTTAACTATCAATAACTCGTATATTGTCGACACTCAAATTCATACAAATATCACCAGTCTAATTATAATCTTATATAATTTAACTTTGAGTCTAAATAATATCCTCTTATAGCATAATAATCCAAAGGACAAAGGGAAGACTTTGAGCAGTGATTAATTTGGTTTTGGTGCATTATGGAGGTCCCAGGTTTGACTTGTAGAAAAGTGTGTATGAATATAGGGGTAAAGTTTCGTGCATCAATCTCTCCATAGGTAGTACCTATACATAAAAATAAAAGAAAGGTAATTCAGGAAATATCAATAGAAAATCTGGACCTCAATTACATTTTCATTATAGCTAGTACCTATACGTAAAAAAAGAAAAGAAAGGTTAAATTAATAAAAGTCACAAAATTAATTGAAAAACTAGATCTGTTTCAGCAACCATGTATGAATCAACATCAATTAACCAAAGCAGAAAACCAAGAAGAAAAGTCTATGAAACAAGTTCTGAAATATGTTCTAGACAACCACTATTTTTACCCACTTCCTTCTCAACCTAGCAAGTTAAAGAAAGTGCATCAAGAAAATAAAGACAACTATATGATATGATAGGCACAATCAAGATCTTAAATTTGAAACATCAGCTGGCAGAGTTCTTTAAGTTATTGCACAATGTGCTCTTTCACAACTATTCAAGAATGACAATAATTACTGCTTACATAAATAGGTTAAAAATCAACTATCAATGAAAGAAACAAATCTAAAAATTAGCTTTTGACTTAAGAATAAAAAACTAATTACACCATAGAGATGGAATGTTATAGTCTACAAATTATTGGATTGCTCCGGATGCTAAGTTGTCCGCATATTGTAGGATTATTGTAGATGGAAAGATGTCGTTCATGAATTATTAAATGTTGTTGATGGACAACTAATTTTCACAGATTGTTAGGTTGTTGCAGAAGGAAAAGTGTTGGTTATGGATTCATGATTATTTCAACACTCACTCCCATGTTAGGCTGCAAAAGTTGATCATGCGCGCCTTATTGATTAGTTTATCAAAAATCACTTTGAGTAAAGCTTTGATGAGGATACAACACCATTAAGCTTTTATCCCACTACGTGCGGTCGGCTACATGAATCTTGTTTTCCATTGTCTTGTTAAGAATCAAATTCTCATTTAATTTTTTTTTTAAATCATTTCTAATATTTTCTAACCAAGTCTTTTTAAGTCTACCTTTAACTTTCTTAACATAGACCAAATCTAATACATCAACTCTCCTAATCGGGTCATCGGAAGGCCGACGTATGTGTCCATCTAAGGCAACTCTCTATAATCTTATATGCCACTGGAGCTACTCCAACCTTTTCACGTCTATACTCTTTTTGCACTATGTCTCTAAGAGTGATGCCACTCATCTACCTATGCATCCTCATCTCTGGAACACTTCACTTAATTTATGCTTCTCTTTTAATGGCTGCACAAAAAAGTATTGCAGGTCTCACCACCATCTTACAGAATTTTCCCTTAAATTTGTGGGGTACTTTTCCTATCACACAACAAGCCTGATACATTCCTCCACTTCAATCATCCAACTTGAATTCTACTAATAATATCCTCATGGTATCTAAAATGTGTACTCTTATTAATGACTTAATCGTCTAAAGTCACAATCTCCCCACTTGATATATTACTATTAAAATTATACTTCATATATTCAATTTTAGATCTACTCAAGTTAAAACCTTTAGACTCTAAAATTGACCTCCATAATTTAAGTTTTCCTTCAACAACCTCTCTAGTCTTATCAACAAGAAGAATATCATCCGAAAGAAACATACACTAAGGTATATCCTCTTGTAAATGCCTAGTAAGAACATCCATGACTAAAGCAAAATTATATGAGCTTAAAGTTGATCCTTGGTGTAATCCAACTGAAATAGGAAAATTATTGGTCAAACCACTTTTTTTTAGTCATTGGAACAAAATTTAGTTGAGCCACTATACTTTAAATTTTTTTCCGAAATAAAAAGTCAATCTGCCTAAACTTGTTTAGCTCGGCCATGGTAGACATGATTTTCATACAATACTAACAGCAATCTGGTTGTCCACATTACATTCCAAAGATTTTTCAACCTGATAATTTAGTTCTTCTAATAATACTTATAACCACATTTCTTCGCAAAACCCAAGTGCAATTATCCAATATTATGCTTCAAAACTATTATACAAGACAACAAATTATTTCTTACTTCTCAATACAAGCATATTTCCCCATACAAAACTAAAACATAACCAGAGGCAAATCTTCAACCTGATGCATCTCTAGCCCAAACAGCAAATATGAAAATTTCATTCTCCTAGTTGGATGAATTTTTGTATAATAGGCATCTTCCTAGTGTCATTTGAAGTTATCCTAAAATATAATGAGCAGCTTTCATGCGATCTTCACTAGAGTTGCTAATGTATGGGCATGCAGCACTCATAGGAGACCCAATATTGGAAAAAATGTATGTTGAGCAATGAGTGGATACCTACATTTATCAATTGAAATGCTATTAGTGGTGATTCTAATTATCTTTGCTGATTCATTTAAAGTTTTTGAGGGCTCACACCAAACATTTAAGTTTCTTAAAGTAGATCAAGAATATATTTCCATTGGGAAATAATAATACTTTATTTTGATTGTGCGCCTCCCTTAAATAAAGTAATTTAGATTTCTAATTTTTTTATCCCAAATTCTCTCATCATAAACCTTTTTAATCTGGTTAGCTCTTCCTCGGAGTCACCTATCAATATAATATAATTTACATACACAAACAAGATCGTATTTTTGAAAAAGGTACATGAAGCTTTAGTAGATTCAATGAGAGGTGTCGAGAAATATTCATTGTTCATGGGTTTGATGAGAGATAAGGGCCAATGACCAACTAAGTTTTTGTAATACCCAAAATAAATGTAAGCATAAACTAATTAATAAGTAGTCAATTTATAATGTATTTTCATTTAATTCTAACTGGAATTTTGAGTATTAATTAATTAAATCATTTTCTTATTCATTGATTCAGTAGTGAAAACAGTAGCTTTTGCACTAAAAGCACATGCATTGGAGGAGGCTGTGAGTGGAAAAATCCTAATGCTGAAATAGGTTTAGCGGAATAGAATTATAATATTTTAATTTTAGTGGAATGCCTAGCAAATGCAATGACTTAAGCCATCTCTTCTTCACTTCTTCACTTCTTCACAACCCGATTCCCTGGCCCTAACGTCTAAAGTTTGTCGTGAGCTAAGCTGGAGCAGGTGCTACTGGGTGAAGCTAAGGCAGGTAGCTGTGAGCGAAATTTCAACAAAACAAGGTACGAGAAAATAGGTAGATGTTGTAGTTAATAGCTAAAATTGTTATTTGGCTGAATTGAGGTGTTGTTTACTTAAATTAGGTAATGTTACTGTTGTAGGGATGATGAAAACTTAAAGGTAAGCAGAAAAAAATTAGTATTGTGTTGTTTGCTTGCTGAAATCAGTGTTGTTATTGCTGAAATTATGATTTGCCATCAGTAATTGCTGAATTTCAATGAGGGATGACTAAATTGATACTAATGTTGCTGAATTTCAATTACAGAAAACAGAAAATCTATTGTTCTCACTGAAATCTGTAAGGAAAACGGGTAGAAAAGCTGAAATCTGGTAAGGGTACTATTGTTTGTTGAAATTTAGTAATAGGGGCTGTTGTTATTTGCTAAATTAAATGTTTAGGCTTGTTCAAGTCTTGCTGAATTCAAGAGGAAGAGGAAAAGGAGATAAATGAAGGAGTGGGATTGAATGAAGAAGAGTGAAATTTGAGGTGTGTATAAAAGGAGAAGAAAATAAGACTTAGAAGAACGACTTTCAAGTGAGGTGAGATACCCAAATAATACATAGAAAATAGTAAAAATTATATATATATATATATATTCATAACTATTATGTTTAAGATAGCATTATAATTTTAGATTATTCATATTTATTCATATAATTGTTGATTCATTTATTAGTAGCACAGTTTATGATTGTTAAAACTAAATGATATTGGAAAGATAAAATAAGTCATATATGGGGGATAAGCCCGTACAATTAAAGGCAAAAAACCTGACGAGGTAGCCTACACTATCAAAATTATAAAAGTTGGGGATTTGGATCCAACCTTGAATAAGAGAGCAGCTTCAATTTTAAAAATTGAGAATTCGAACACAATCTTGAATTCAAAAGTTGAAAGGGTGCAAAATCTTATAGCCATCATATGACTTGTAAAAAGGTGTTGAACAGTTAACAAGATAGAAAATAATGTTATGCATTTATTATGATCAGTATAGAATTCCAAGGTGTTCTAAATTAATTATTAATAATATTGTTATTATTTCTTATACATTGATTATGTATTTTATTAAGGCCTAACTCATTAGTTGTGGTTGTACTACAGGAAAATGGAAGAAGCCCATAGGGAATTAGACAAAAAAGCGGTGATTATCTTTTTTTTAGTGTAAATACGTTTTGGGTGTACATAGAGGTCCAAGTGGAGGCTGTACATAGAATTTTGGAGTATGTAAATAAATTTTAAAAAATTTTAGTAAAGCTCTGTATTTCTTTTGAGTATCCTTGATGTTTAATTGAGGTATATTATATGTTTTTTGTTGTTAAATATAAAGTTTGATATGCTAGGAGAGTCAGAATAGATTACTTTTACTCATTTGATTCTGATAGAAATAGCTCAGAATGGGTGTTAATAAGAAAGGTCTGTTTAAATTTTTCTTCTTTGTTATGCTCCAAATTGACCATAAGGGGGGAGCCAAAATGCGGTATGGCAGTTTCAAACTTGAATTTTTTGTTCTTGAATTTCCTCCCTCTGAATTTTAAGTTTGGAGTAATAAGATTGACGTTAAAGAAAAGTTACATTCATGGAATTGTGAAATTTTTTTGTAACCACGAAGTATAGCATTTATACACTTTTTATTTGGAGTAAACAATCAAGATACCCTTCATAAATTTAGGAACTAATTTGCTCCTATATTGAGAATGAATGTAAATGAAAAATGAACGCTTAAAAATTTTTGGAGAAGAGAAGAAAAATATATAGACATGAGTTTGAACGGTCTTGAAATTTAAATACTCTTAAAGGAATTTTGCTAATGAGATATGCAACAGTTATGATAGCTTCTTCCCAAATATACTTAAAAACAATTGTAAAAATACTAATAATATGTCCACCTTCAATATGTCACTATTTTTCCTATTAGCAACCCCATTTCATTGACGGGTGCCGACACAGGAACTTTGGTATATAATCCCTTGACGTAGGAGATAATTTATAAAATTGATTCAAAGTATTATCTAACATTATCAGCTTTAAAGACTTAGATTTTGAACTAAAATTAAGTGTGGATCATGCTGTTCAACTTCAAAATTTGTCCAACTATCAATTTTTCTTTCATTAAAACATTCAAGTGAGATAGGTATGATCATTTATAAGAGGAACAAAACATATCGCTAGAGATATTTTTGACTTTATATGGTCCTCACACATATTAAAAGGGTTTGCAAACTGGGATGTGAACCAAGAGTGCCTTTAACCAAGGGCCAAATTTCACACTAGAAGTCTTTAATGAAGTTTTTTGTAGGTGAATAGAGGAGAAATTAATTTTACAATGTAAGTAAGGGTTGTGTTCAAGGCATTGGTGTCAAAGCAAGAAATCTCTATCATTAGAATTTGAAGTTGGGGTTTTGGTAGACATACAATTTGCTATTCGAACCCATACCTTGCTAGAGGAACAATTCTTTAGAATATAGAATTCTAAGCACATCTTTGCACTATCAGTCATCATCCCTGATATCAAGTCCTTAAGTTACAAAGGTTACATGAGAAATCAGCAACAATGTTTTTTTGTCGAAGAGTATTTTTTTTTTTTTTTTAGGCACTAAAAGCGCATAGTTAAGTGTCAAATCATTTTGACAGAATGATTGAACTTATTCCAACCACATTTCATAATAACTCATTTCCAATCCGAACATTATAATTTTTATGACATGGGATGTAATTATGGAAGACATTTTTATCTCTTGTCATATAATTTTAAGCTCCCGAGTCTACTAACCTAATAGTAGTTAGTCTCCATGTTTGCAATGAGAGTGGTTACAAATCCACCCGTCTAGTTCAGCCAAGCTTATTATAGTATTTTTCTGGAATAAGCTTTTACTAGAGAATAATTTATTGTCTTCAATTTACTCATCAAAAGTATGAAACATAAATAAAAGAGCTATTGTGATCTGTATTAATTGTTGGCTATATTTTGAAAGTTTCCAGTCCAGTATTTCATCATATATTTCCATATTTTGAAATTGGGTTTTTCATTTTTATTGTAAGAAATTAACCTAGGAAGTCCCCACTTTTTTAGAAAAATATTAAATATGCCAAAGATCGTAACAGTAAGGGGTCAAGGGAGTTTTTTTTTAGAGATTGAATATAGAGAGCTCCACAAGTTGCAAATTTGCAGCCGCCAGCTGAGGAATTCACATAAAAGTCTAAGTACAATAAGTAGAATCGATCCCTTGCGTTGGAACACTTGATCATGCATTAAAAATCATTGGCCAGCACTTCCAACTAGACTATTGTTTTCTTCATCCTGCTAATAAATTTCATGTTGGAGAAATGACATCTAAATAAGCTTTTACTACGAGAATAAATGATTGTCTTCAGTTGTTCTTCAAAAGGATGAAACATAAATGAAGAGTTATTTGAAATTTTCCAATCCAGTATTTCATCATATATTTCCATATTTTGAAATTGGGGTTTTCATTTTTATTGTGAATAATTAACCAAGGAAATCCCCACTTTTTAGAAAAATATGAAACATGCCAAAGATCTTGACAATAAGGGGCAAGAGAGAGTTTTTTTTTAGAGACTGAATATAGAGAGCTCCACAAGTTGCGAATTTGCAACTGGGGAATTCACATAAAAGTCCAAGTACAATAAGTAGAATCAATTCCTTATTTCCTTGTGTTGGGACACCAGATCATGCATTAAAAATCATCGGCCAGCACTTCCAATTAGACTATTGTTTTCTTCATCATGCTAATAAATTTCAAGTTGGAGATATGACATCTAAATAGCCCCATGCATACGCCAATGAGAAGTGGTAGGCTCAAGTATAATTAGCAACCCAATGGCTTTATAATGAGAATGTTCTTTTAGTAGATGGCTTAACACATAATCTTCTTAGTATTAGCTAGGTATGTAATAAAGGATTTGATATTAATTTTTTATCTAACAAGTGCTCAATTAGTTTAAATGGCAAAATTATTTTAAAAGGTAAGAGAATCACTAACGTTTACATGCTTTATTTATCCTATATTGATATTTCTGAAAACTTATGTTGTCTAAAATAATTTTTTTTATTAAGGAAATGTTTAATAATTTTAAAATAAATTTTACTATTACTTGAAAATTACATTTAATAAATAATTTAATTAAAAAATAACTAAAATATCCTTTGATTTAACACCATTAACCCCAAAATTTAATAATAGGATCAAAAAGGCCCTTTTCAGGAGTTGAGGAACTAAATTGATCCCTCAAAAGAGTTGAGGATCATTTTGATCCCTCACAAAGAGTTGAGGGACCATTTAGGTCCTTTCCTCATACACCAATATATAAAAATAAAATCACTAAAAGGAATTTTGGATGCATAAATTAGAGCAAAATGGTTAAATTGCCAAACAATTGCATCCATACCCAGTATCACCTTCAAGCAAGTTCAATGAACAATGAAGAGAAACAACCAAGTTCGTCAGACAACTTTGATCACTGGTACCTATATGGGAACTAGTTTAGATAGAACTAAAAAGAAACAAAGAATACGATTAATAGAAAGCATGGCTAAAACTTACCAAATGGGAAAAGATAAGAGATTTTCTTGAAGATTTTGTTTTCTTCCCCTCTCATCACATACTCCTGCCCAATCAAAAAAGTAAATCAATGAACAAAGAGTAAAGCTTTACTAAGCTCAAATATTTTAGATGCTTATGACATTTCTAAAAATAAATGCTTGATATTCAACTTGCTAAAACATAGATATCAGTTTGCATCAATCTTATCATCCAAACACCATGAGAAGTACAGATAGTGTATGCAGTTACGTGCAGCATTTAAATGTATAACTGCAAGAGATGCAGGATCTGCATGAAAATCAGTCCATCTTTCTCTGTCAACACCATTAATTTTCCTAATTAAGAGGCACTTTTATTGGAGTATTTGATTTTCAAAATGGATGTTTGATTCAAAAAGCATACTTCTAGCATTGGTGCCTATCTAAAATCCCTATCACTATTTGGGTAGAATATATTGATGGAGCCAATTGAGCCAATCATCATACTCATTGATATATCACCAGATATCATATTTGATTCTGCAATAAGAGCTTTTAATGATGTCAAGCATTTTTCAAATTTGTATTGAATATTTACATCGTTTCTTCTTCTTGGGAGTATTAGCCATTATGTCTTACCATTGTTAAGTAATTGTCCGGGATCCTATTATTCTTATAAATAACCTTTTATATCTTCTTTTTTAAACCTATATGTTGAATGAGATTTTTTTCCCTTTAGGATCAATCCGAAAACATCCTTAGCTTAAGTTTCTAACTCGTCATCCATTATCGTTGTCCTTTCACTGTTTTCTTCCTAGTTTACTGCTGTTCCAGCTTTCCTAAACCCTCAAAACAGCCAAAAACCACTCCAAAATCTGATTATTTCCCTACTCCCTGTGCTAGCACTCTTTCGTTTGCCATCGGAGTAGTAATCAATTTTTGCAATGCCAAAGTTCCTTTAAATTTACTTAACAATGTCTCTAATCTATGAAGTGGATCTTTGATCCCTCAAATTCATGACTGATCTATTTTTAGCCAAAATTGGAATTAGTGCCCGTCTTGAAAGCATTTTAATGCACCACAAACCTAATCATTCTAAAAAGTGTAATGACACTTAACCTGCCTTTTTAGGCAAATTTAGGAAGGCCAGAGCACCATCAACCTCCCTTCTAACTGCCAAGGCATCCGACATATAGCTTTAGCAGTTCAGAAAGCATGACAATGTAAGAACATGTTATTTTGCATTTTTCAGTAAATATGAAAATGAAGCACTAAAACTTGAATGCCAAGGTCTTCAATAATGCTACACTATAAGCCGTAAAGAGTTGGCAAAAGCCATATGAAAAATTCTCCAACAAGGAGAGTTGACAGAACTTTAGCCGAATTTAGGTTAATGCCTCAAACATAACAAACAAAGTTAAGGTCCTATATCATCATCCTAGAACAAATGCTCGATGCTAATGAAACAACAATAGCCAGCCTAGGCTTTACTCTGAAATTTGCTCATTAAGGCCTTCAATACAATAAGATCAAGCTCCTACTCTGTTAGCTTGAAGGCAAGAATTGAAACCTTCACTTGGGACTACTCTGACATTCTTGCTTATGCTTTAACAAGCCGCTGCATATCCCCCATTAAGGCCTCAAATAACGGAATTAAAGTTATGCTAGGCTAGTCAAGAGCAAAGGCTCCATGCTGTTAAAATCCTTAGCGTAGGTTAAAATTCAATTATAGCAAACCCGCTTCGATATTGGTAAGTTGTTGAATACATATATAGACCAAGACCTTAGAAAAAACAAAAAATCTGATTGATTTGAAAGTTTGAAGCCAAAGCTTAATGCTACCATTTTTCATGAGTCAGTCAAGACATCCTAGGGAAATTCAAGCTCTGCACGAAAAGTTCTAAGGAATTAAGGCAATAAATCTCGCCTGGCCAAGGCTTCAAACACATAATAAAAGGAAAGGTTCTAACAGTCAACCCAAAGAAAAAGCTCCATACTGTAAAAATATTGAGACGGCCAATGCAAGATTTATAAAATAACAGAATATATTTCATCTTTTTGTTCTTTAGAAAGCTCCTCGGATGAGACATCCATTATTACAAACAAAGAAGACTTCATGTCCCAGTCAAGGAACCCTCATAACCAGTGATAACCCAATAAACTCAAGATAATGAAATCATGAAAACTTAGCAACATTAACCAATCCATCCAAACCCCAATTTCAAGTCTTGCATGCTAACAGGTCTTCCAAAATTTAGAGCTGAGCTGTGAGCTATAAAAATCCCCATCAGGCTCTGCTCATATTTAAAAGATTCCGGATCAACCATTTATAATACGGATTTGATACAAAAAATAGCATTACCTAGCCACTAACAAGGACTTTATGTGAAAAAATCCTAAATCCGTGGTTAGAACATTTACATCTACAACAATTCAAAAATCCAAAGCAATTCTTCATCTACAGCAATCTAACAATCCAAGCAAAACAATAAGTCATCTACTGCAATACAAAAGATAATTGTGTAAGTGTATAACTTCTACTGAATTCTAGAATTAAAGACTGATTTCAACATAAGCTTATTTCCAATATAGTTGTTTCTCCACCTTTATATGTACAACTTTTTTTCTTCTTTTTCTTATACATAGAACAAGCGAATAAAAGTCATTCATAAATTATTTTATCCTCTTCTCTTTTCTCATTATAATTTTCAAACATTAAAAGAGCTATTAAGGTTCAACGCTCTGTGAGGTTGATGGGTCCTTCAACATGGAATATCTCCTCCAAGTCGACTCGTCCTTCACCAACATTAATGAAAATCAGCCGTCCTCAAGCAAGAGTGGCAAAAATACATGAAAATATTCCTCTTGGAAAGAGCATGGTGGTAGCTGACACAAAAAAGCTAGCGGTAAAAAATATGACAACTATAGTGCTGAGAAATCAACCTCAAAATGAAAAATTCATATCCAAAATATAATAAATTCATGATAAAATATTGGATTAGAATTTTTAAAGAAAACCAATAATAAAGAAATATTGCAACATCTCTCTCATTAATATTTCAACCATTTAGACAGTAAACTAAAGATAACCAATTATTCTTATAACAAAAACTTATTCTCAAACATCAATAGAATATGCTCAGTTACTCAAAAAAGTAAATACTTAGATGCTCTCATCACAAACAAGAAGTAAACTACTACTTAGATATTAGAGCCAAAAGCATCAAATTATACGTTATGAGACAAAAATGTCTTTCATAATTACAATACATGCCATAAAAATTATAATGTCCAGATTGAAAATGTGTAACTATTAAAAGTGGTCGGAATATTTTTTTTTTTTTTTCATTATGTAAAAAGATTTGACTATTGATTTTGTATTTAGTGTCAAACTCACTCAAGACAAAAACTATGTAGCAAAGTGCTCACTCAATTTTTGCCACTTTAAGAACTCAAACTAATGGATAATGATTGTTAGCGTGGAGATGTTTTCAGGACTCTACCTTCTAAAAAATGATTCCTTAAACTAAAATTTCAAATACACTTTAAAAAATGATAGTGAAGTATGGCTTTGGCACTACAGGGCAACCAAATTTTATTTACCTTGAAAAACTAACTCTTTCTCTAATAACCAACCAAAATTTTAAAGGACTTTCAATATGAAATTTATCATCTAGTTAAATACACTCATAATTCATATATCCCAATCAAACCCACAAACCTTCCCAATCTTTTGTTTTGGTCTGCAATAATGTCTAGAATAAATCAAGGTTACAAAACATCTTTGAACTTAGATGGTTTAGTCCCTTCATCGATGATAATATTTATCTCATTTTAAGTTTTCTTGATGAAGGAAAATTTTAAGGTGGGGCAAAATTTTAAACATTTCAACATCATGATCCACAGTCAATTTTAGTCCAAAAACTAAATCCTTAAAACCAGCAATTCTAAGAATACTATGAACCTATCTTAGAAAATTATCTCCTACATCAAAAGATTATGTACCAAAGTCCCTATGCCGACACCCCTTAACAAAATGGGGTTGTTGAATGAAAAAAAATAAAAACCTCATAGTGGTAGCCATATCACTAAGTATCATTGAGAAGAAGCTATTCTACGAACTACGCCCTCATTAATAGAATGCCCTTAATAGTACTTAAATTTCATACTCCTGTTCAAACCCTTACTGATTCATTTCCCAAAAAAAAAAATCATTTCTCTTCTTTCTAAAATACTTGGGTCTGAGCCTTCATTCATATTCATTCTCAACACTAAAGCAAATTAGCATCTGAATCTACCAAGAGTGTGTTTATTGTATACTCCCCAAATAAAAAAGAGTACAAATGCTAACACCTTGCCATTAAAAAAAGAAATGACCAAATGATACATAAACTTTTTTAAGTATATCCATTTTAATCTCAAACGTTTTTCAACTATTCAATTTGATCCATAAACAAACCAAATTTGGACCATTTTGGTCATACCATCAACTTTATCATTTCTTTAGACAAATCAATCCAACTTTTAAAGTGTCCATTTTAATCCATGAGTGCATTTTTTTTATTTCAGGGTCAATCTCATTAGTTTGAACTGGTACAAGGAGAGAGATTAACCCTACAAATTCTAAAATGCTCACAAGAAAAGCTTTCCTCCATCAATTTCTCTTAAAAAATGATAAAGTTGACAGTATGATCAATTTAGTTCAAATTGGTGAGCTGAGAAACTAATTGAAAGTATGGAAAAGTCTAACTAAAATAAACTCTAAAAAATCTAGAATTCCATGAGTGTGACGTTTTTTTAATATAACTCTAAAAAATCTAGAATTCCATGAGTGTGACGTTTTTTTAATATAAACCTAAACACTCCAAATTCGAAAATTAAGATGAGGAAACTCATGAACAAGAATTTTCATCCACCTTGCTTTATAATCAAGCACATGTAAAACAAGCATGCCCCATTGTCCCTCATTCAACTTAATAAAGCCTCACCAAAGCTCCAAACTCCCTTCTCACCATATTGGTGCATCAAAACTACTGATGCCTCCCAGAATCGCCGACTCCCTCATCACCTTATCACTACATCCAAC